CCAACAAGACACGAAGGGTAGGGGGTTTAGGCAAGTGGGAGCAAAGATCTCATTGAAGTCCCGCTTCTCCTTCTGCATAAACCCCTTAGCCACCAACCTACTCTTGTAGATGGTGACCTGCCCCTTGTCGTCAGTCTTGATCCTTAGCACCCACTTGCATTGTACCGCTTTCTTTCCCTCAGGCAGCACCACTAGTTCCCAAGTCCCATTCTCCAGCAGGCTCTGGTACTCAGCATCCCTAGAAGCCAGCCATTTGTCCCTATCTGGTCCAGCTAATGCCTCCTCCATGCTAGCTGGTTCCTCTGGTGCAGGGGCAAGAAAACAGTACGCAGGCTTCATCCTCCTCATCCGGGTCATAGCCATGCGGTAGAATCAGCAATGCCTCCTCTGTCCCAAGCTGCTGCTCCGCTACATCAGCTCCTGCAGTCAGCTTCTTAGTAGCCATACGGGTACGTCCTGGCCTGGAGACGGGTGTCTCCCATCCCTTCATAATAACACCCTTCGGCTTCTTAGTTTTCCCCTGCTGCTGCTCTCCTCCCTCGGATCCAGCAGCTCCACTAGTGCTACCGCTAGTCTCCACACCATCTGTTTTCACCAGGCAGGTGCCTCCTGCACCTTCTCTTCAGCACCACCCTTTGCAGCTGCCTCCTCTCCCTCCTCCCACACACTAGGAGTCAGGTCCAGCTGCATGGTGATCTGCTCCATCTGCTGGGACACCCTGGCCTCCGGCTGTTTCTCCCAGCTCCCATACATCATGCCCTCAACAAACTTCACATCCCTGCTGTCAAACAACACACCCTTGGAGGGTTCCCACAGCAGCCATCCCTTGCTCTCAGCAGCCAGCCCCAAATGCACACACCAGATTGCACTCGCCCCCAACTTACTGCGGTAGGTCTTGGGAACGTGGGCGACTGCCATGCAACCGAACACCCTCAGCATGTCCACCGGCGGCTTCCTCCCAAGCCACCTCTCCAACGGCACCCACGAGTCATCCCCAACCTTTGTGAGTACCCTGTTCCTAGCGACGGTAGCGTGCCGAACAGCATGGGGCCACATGGAGTTGCCCAGCCCAGATTCTATGAGCAGCGCCCTAGCTGTCTCCAGAATTGTCCGGTTCGCCCGTTCTGCTACACCGTTGGACTGTGGGGTGTAAGCCGTGGTCAGCTCCCTCTGGATGCCCTGCTTCTTGAGCCAGGCCGTCATCTCAGCTCCAAGGAACTCACCACCCCGATCTGTCCTAATCCGCTTCACCACACACTCCGCTTGCTTCTCCACGAACGGCAGCCAATCGTCCCGAATCGTGGAGGCGGCGTGATCTTTCTGCTTCAGCGGATACGCCCACATTAGCCTGCTCCAGTCATCCACTATGGTTAGGAAGTACCGCTCCCCCTTGTGCCCTTGCACCGGCAGCGGCCCCACCAAGTCCATGTGGACCAGCTCCAACGGCTTTTTGCTCCTGCCAGCCACACTATGGAAGGGGAAACGGGTAAACTTTGAGAGCAAACAGATTTCACAGTTATCATCGGGTGGTTGTCCGTTCAGCTTCAAGCCCTTAACGGCTCCATCCTTCTCCAGCTGCTTCAGCAAAGGCATTGCCACATGCCCCAAGCGTCGGTGTGCCGTTGCCCAATCCGTCTCCCCAGATCTGGCCGACACTTTCACACCAACCCCTCCAACGGCGTTGCACTCCCCCTGGGATGCAGACCCCTCTCCAGCCTGCCCCTCACCATGCCACGCCAGCGCCGGCAGCTGCCACATAGATCTGTACACGTCCTTGCTCTCGTGCAGATCCCAAAGCACCCGATTGCCCAGCTTCCCCTTATAAGTGCGAGCCCCATCCGTGTTGGTGTTCACCCCAGCCTTGCCAAGCTTACGGAGGGAGATGAGGTTGGCCTTCAGGTCGGGGACGAGGAGAACGTCGTGCAGCACCACCGGCTTGCCATCCGCTCCCTTAAATGCAGCTCGTCCCGCACCAGCCACCTTCAGCATGTGTCCAGAGGCAGAGCACACCTCATTAATCGGTGCAGCGCGTACGTCGTCCAGCAGGTCCTTGCGCGGCGTCATTGTCCAAGCAGCGCCTGTGTCCAACACCCAATAGTCCAGGGGGTGCAGCTCTGCTCCAGCCTTAGCAGATGCGTCTCCTTGCTCCCCCTTGTCTCCCATATGGAAGAATTGGCCCGCGGTGCGCTCCTTCTTCTTCTCCGCACCGCCGTTGCCCTTCGGGTTGTTGTCGGACGAATCAGCGACCATGTTGGCGCCGTTTTTCTGGTTCCTCCGCGCGCCGCCATCCTGGTGACGATTCTGGGGGGTCCATCCATCGGGTTTCTTATAGCACAAAAACCAGGGGTGCCCTTCCTTCTCACAATACCAGCAACTCCCTTTCATTTTGCCACCAGCACCCGACTTGCCCCCACGTCCAGATTTCGCACCGCGACCCCAACCGGTACCTCCTTGTTGGTCGTTGGAGTCGTCGTCTTTCTTTGCACCGCGTCCAGCACCACCGAAGCCACGTCCTTTGCCACGTCGGCTCCCTTGCATCCCGTAGCCGCTGCTGCCGTCGTCTCCACCCCTCAGTTGACGGCGACGGAAGTCCTCCTCCAGAATCTTCGTCCGCACCCACTCGAGCGTCCACAAGCTCTGGTTCTGCGGCAGGCTCAATCCGCTCGTAAATTGAAGCCACGATTCCGGCAGCAGCGAGAGCATCTTCAAGCACTTTGTTTGCTCCGGGTAGGTGATTCCCGCGGTCCCCAACTTCGCGTAGAGGTCGCGCAATTTGTCCAGGACAGGTTGCACCGGCTCTCCCTCGCTCAGGCGCAACGCGGACAGCTCCCTCTCCAGCATCAATGTTACAACAACGGAGGTAGGGGCGTGCAGCTCCTTCAACACGGTCCACGCCTTCGGACCGCACTCAACCTCCGGCAGCAGGTGCATGACGTGGTGACGCTGGTTCAGCTCCAAACTCTGCGACATCAAGTAGTAGCCAGCCGAGGCGCGCTCGTCCCAATCTTCCTGAAGGGCGGGGTCACTCGGTCTAGGCTCCTCCCCAATCATTAGTTTCAGCAATCCGATTTGACGGAAATAAAGTTGCATTTTCCAGGCCCAATCATCATAGCCCTCACCATTGAACTTCTCGACGGTGAAGTTTTTCAGCACCTCCTTGATCAGCGAGCCCTGGCTTGTTCGCGCTCCCCTTGGCGCAGAAACACCAGAATCATGGCTGCCGCTACGATCTTGGGCTGAAGATTCACCAGCTACCGCCGAGGTGTTGCCCGCCATAGCTACCTATATCGAGGATCACTATAACGCAGCTCTGATACCAGCTTGTTGGTGTAAGGGCCTAATAAACTCAAGCTATTAAGACTTTATCACACTTAAAACCTCTCCTCGGGGTCACCTCCAAGGGTCCTTGGGTGCCTGGTACAAGACCAGCCCCTATCCTCGGGTCCGAGTTTGTAGAGAGAGGGATCAAGAGGGACTTAGTCAAAACAGCAAGAGTACCTTGAACGTCGCGCAGCGTATCGTGCAGACCGTCGATCGGATTAAGCTGAGAATTTCCTATATCGAAGCTCACTCTAAGAGCTTTAAAATAAGCCAAGTTGCCTCGCGAAAAGTTCTGCCATTACGAAGTTATGGCTCGGACAGCGTTAGCCTAGCGTTGGAGTGCTAGCGTACTAGCGTTGACTCGGGTAGCATTCCGCCGTCGCACCGCGTAGAAAAGAAATTCCAGCAAGGAAGGAATTCGCTTGAATCAATTTCACTATATCCAGGTACAAACAGAGAAGGAATAAATAGTTCTAGCTAGCAAGGACCTTGGGAATGAACCTGAGAACAACCAGGGATCATCCCAAATAATTCCAAGCAACAGAACCAACCTGGCTGGACAAAACAGCAGGTGGTAGGTTGGTGAACAACCTCTGGTTCTGTTTTTCCAACCTGGGAAAACAACAACCAGGTTCAGGTCCTAAAAACAGAACCTGTTTTGTCTTTGCCCAACCAGCCAAATGCTGGTTCCGCTGGTTTCCCCTGGCCCTGTAGCATGCAGATACAGACAAACAACATCCAACCTTCACCTAAATTGTACCCCTATAGTGCCTGCCCTGCTACACTATAGTCAACCAAACAAAACAGTACAATTTCGAGTTGGATAGAACTGAATCTGCGCAATCAAGTAAGTTGAACCGCAAAGCTTCCATCTTGGGTTCCTTTGCGAGCTCGTCCTTTCTGCTTGTACTGTTCATAGCGCGTACAATGTTATGCCGAAGCGCACATTTTGCGAGTACCTGCAAATGCTTCAAGCGAAAATTGCGAAAGCAAACAAACACACGAACATACCATTCACACGCAAATGCATTCGCACACGCATACTCGTACAAACAGACGGCAGGATGTCGTGCAATGTGAATTTGCACCCAACAACTTGCACAATGTGCGCTTCGGCATAACATTGTACGCGCTATGAACAGTACAAGCAGAAAGGACGAGCTCGCAAAGGAACCCAAGATGGAAGCTTTGCGGTTCAACTTACTTGATTGCGCAGATTCAGTTCTATCCAACTCGAAATTGTACTGTTTTGTTTGGTTGACTATAGTGTAGCAGGGCAGGCACTATAGGGGTACAATTTAGGTGAAGGTTGGATGTTGTTTGTCTGTATCTGCATGCTACAGGGCCAGGGGAAACCAGCGGAACCAGCATTTGGCTGGTTGGGCAAAGACAAAACAGGTTCTGTTTTTAGGACCTGAACCTGGTTGTTGTTTTCCCAGGTTGGAAAAACAGAACCAGAGGTTGTTCACCAACCTGTCACCTGCTATTTTGTTCAGCCAGGTTGGTTCTGTTGCTTGGAATTATTTGGGATCATCCCTGGTTGTTCCCAGGTTGATTCCCAAGGTCCTTGCTAGCTAGAGCTATTTATTCCTTCTCTGTTTGTACCTGAATATAGTGAAATTGATTCAAGCGAATTCCTTCCTTGCTGGAATTTCTTTTCTACGCGGTGCGACGGCGAAATGCTACCCGAGTCAATGCTAGTACGCTAGCACTCCAACGCTAGGCTAACGCTGTCCGAGCCATAACTTCGTAATGGCAGAACTTTTCGCGAGGCAACTTGGCTTATTTTAAAGCTCTTAGAGTGAGCTTCGATATAGGAAATTCTCAGCTTAATCCGATCGACGGTCTGCACGATACGCTGCGCGACGTTCAAGGTACTCTTGCTGTTTTGACTAAGTCCCTCTTGATCCCTCTCTCTACAAACTCGGACCCGAGGATAGGGGCTGGTCTTGTACCAGGCACCCAAGGACCCTTGGAGGTGACCCCGAGGAGAGGTTTTAAGTGTGATAAAGTCTTAATAGCTTGAGTTTATTAGGCCCTTACACCAACACTGCTAGGATTGGGGGTGCTGCTGGGGCTGCTGTAGTTAGTCCTGCTGGAGGTACTGCTGGAGCTGCTTGCGGTGCTGGAGCTGACGGTCCAGCTAGAGTTCGTGCTACTGGATTTGCTGGAGCTGGTGGAGCTGGAGCTGCTGGGGGTGTTGGCGCTAGTGGTTCTGCTGGCGCTGGTGCTTCTGAGGGTGCTGGAGTTGGCGCTGTTGGAGCTGGAGGTGCTGCTGGCGCTGGTACTGCCGCTGGGGGTACTGGTGCTGTCCCTTCTGGTTCTGGAGGCGCTGCGCGGCCGAGGCCGTACTTCGTTCCGCTCCTTGAGTAGGTTTTTGGTCTCCCACCCTCTACTGGTCCTGCTCCTCCCTTAGAGTGTCCACAGCCTGTCCAGTCATTTCTTCACACTTTCTCCAGAGGCGCGTAAGTTGAAGCATTAGGATTGTGGTGAGATACAAACGGCTGATGCGGTAAGTCGGCTTCGGGGCAGGTAAAGCACGTTCCGCGGGATTGTCGAAGTTCACTTCCGTCGGTTAGAAGCAGTGAGTCTTTGTCTAGCACGCCCGCTCTAATCGTGTTATTTAACACCGTGTTGCTTGGATGTCCCATTCGTGCATGCTAGATATCGTCGCTGGAGCGATGTCCGGGTGAGCTTTTGTACACGTTGGAGTTTGAGTAGAAGCCAGCGGTGAAGTTGGCGCTTCAGTGAACATCTCGTTAAGCAGGAGCCAGTTGTTGCGCAGGTGTCGGAGGTGTGTCGCCGACTAAGACCAGTGCCGTTGAGGGGCCAGGGAGTGGTGTCGGTGTTGTCTCTGCTGCTGCCGTTGTTGTCTCTGCTGCTGCCGTTGTTGTTTCTGCTGCTGCCGGTGTTGTCTCTGCTGCTGCCGGTGTTGTTGTTAAGAATGAGAAGTGATTGAACTATGAAAAGTTGGAGTACAAGTAGAAACCCTAGCTTTGTGTACCCCCTTAAGGCTAACCCACTATAGCCTACACAACAATAACACATATAGTGTTTGACACACCCCTATAGGCTAAGTGGGGGAGAGCAAGGGGTCACAAGACCAGTCAAGAAAGGCAAGCCAGCTCAGGGTGGATCACAACGTCACCACACATTCCGAGCACAAGCAAAGGGCCACATGGCTAGTTCACATGCAGAAGTATATATGCAGCACAAACAACAAGGGTGATCTCAACCTAGCAGAGCAGACAGGGAGGAGTATATATATAGAGATCACAGTACTCTCGAGAAAGGAAGTAACGAAGAGCGATGTGCTTCGTTCTGTGCTCCAGTCTGTGCTCCTCACACAAGGCAATGGCAGCCTTGTTGTCGACGTACAGCACTGGAGGAGAACTAGGCCGCTCTCCTAGGTCGGTCAGCAGGTAGGTGAGCCAGCGTAACTTCTGTGCAGCCATGGCTGTGGCGTAGATCTCAGCCTCACAACTAGAGCTGGGAACTGAAGACGAACGCGTAGAGCGCCACGAAACTGAGCCTGAGCCAAGGCTGAAGGTGTAACCCTGTGACGACCGCTGAGTAGCCTGGTCGTCAACCCAAGAAGCGTTTGAGTGCCCAGTGAGAACAACTGAGCTCCCTCCTCCAAGCACGAGCCCCATGCCCGATGTACTGCACAAGTAGCACAAGACCCTCTTTGGAGCATCCCAGTGCACCTTTCGGTGCCTTCTAGGAGCCACGTAGCGGGCCAGAAGGCCAAGAGGGTATGCTAGGTCAGGACGAGTGCAAGTCATTAGGTACATGAGGCAACCAACTAGCTCTGGGTAACGACCACTCGACTCTACGGACTCATCCGAAGGCAGAGCTAAGAGCGAGTGACCTACAGCCAGAGGAGTGGCCTGTGCTGAGGACCAGGTGAAGCCGAAGCGCTGAAGGACCTGCTGCACCATGTGTGACTGAGTTAGGGTAATGGTGCGGCGTGCTCTGTCCCAGGTGATCAGCAAGCCAACGTAGCTGCGCAGTTCACCCAGGTCTGTGCACGTGTGTCTCTTTTGCAGCTCCGATTTCACGTGGGCGAGAGCCTCAGTGTCAGCAGTGGCAAAGACCAAGTCGTCGACGTACATGAGGATGTAGAACGGCGGCAGCGAAGTGTCGGTGCGTAGAAATAGCGACGGGTCAGCAGTAGAAGGAGCGAACCCAAGTGCCGCAAGAGTAGTCCTCAGTGTGTCGTGCCAATCACGTGGTGCCTGGCGGAGACCATAGACCGGCCGATGGAGGCTCCACTGGCTACCAGGAGGAAACGACCCAGTGAAGCCAGGAGGGCGGCGCAGCCAGATCTCCTCGTGCAGACTGCCCTGCAAGAAAGCTGTGCTGAAGTCAAGAGAGTGAAGCTCGTAGTCACGCTGAGCAACAACGTGCTGTATTACCCGAAGAGTGGTCATCTTCGGGGTGGGGGAGAAGGTCTAAAAGAAGTCTACTCCCTCTCGCTGACTGAAGCCTCGAGCAACGTAACGAGCCTTGAAGACAGGTGGAGAACCCGACGGCCGCTTCACCCTGAAAATCCAAATGCCACTGACGATGTTCGCCCCAGGTGGGGGAACCTCGTCGACGTAGGTGCCTGTGGACTTCCAGGAAGCCATCTCTGCGTCCATGGCTGACTGCCACTGTGAGGAGTAGGGACCCTCGATCGCCTCAGCGTACGATCGAGGAGTCGGGATGTCTGGTGCATCCGGGTCTCCCTCAGGGGCAATCAGCATGGACACGAGATGGGGCGCAGTGGCTGCAAGACACTCAAGGTCCTCCTGTTTGTCCTCAAGGACGTCCGTGCCTAGAGCACACTCACCCCCGACGGATGGAGGACAAACAGACTCAGACTCAGCAACAAGACTGGCAGCGTAGTCTAGACGACAGCGAGCAGCAAAGTCGACAAGCTCAGCAACTAGGGCAGAAGCAGCAGCAGACTCAAAGGAAGGGTCAGTGACAGCAGTGGCCAGGAGACGCGTGACAGTAGGACTGGCAACACGAACGGAGTCAGACTCCGGGTCAGCAAGGGTAGGAAGAGAGGACGGAGGAGGAGACGGTAGAGGGATACGCTGTGGAGCAGTGGAGGGACGCAGTGACATCCGGTGTGTGCCAGGGACACGTGGCGGACGCTCACGTGGTACACGGCGACTAGCGCAAGCAGTACGAACAGGTGACAAAGGACGGGACACAGGCGACACAGGACGAGACTCAGGCTCATGACGCTCTGTAAGACCGCCTGTCGGACCAGTGTAGGGAGGAGGACCAGGAAGCGGCGAGGCAGGCGGTAGCTGTGACTCTGACTGGACAGGCGGAGGACACTCTACGGAGGGGGGAGGACTAGGAGGAGGCGGCTGACCAAGAACATGCCGAAGGAGTGGAACGAAGTACGGCCGCGGCCGTAAATGGCCCCCAGCAGCAGGAGAGACAGCACCAAAACCTCCAGCAGCTCCAGGAGGACCTCCAGCAGCTCCAGCAGCACCTCCAGCACCTTCAGTGCCTCCAGCAGCTCCACCAAAACCTCCAGCAGCTCCAGTAGAACCTCCAGCAGCTCCAGCAGCACCTCCAGCACCTCTTGCAACAACAGCAGCACCTCCAAGAGCTCCAGGATCTCCAGCAGCAGTAGGGTCTCCAGCGGGCGGTACCTCAACACCAGGAGCTCCACTCCGGAGGCTGCAGCGTCGAGCGTACCACTCACACAGCCGCTGAGGGGAGGGAGGCTTCGGCTGCGACACGGCACCCGCAGGACGACTAGCCCCAACTCCAGCAGACCCCCCAGCTCCAGGAGCCCCATGACGGAGGCTGTAACGCTGGGAGTACCACTCACGCAGCTGCTGTGAAGAAGGAGCGCCAGCAGGCGCAGTATGGTCAGTCTCAAAGCCCCCAGCCTCAGTGCCTCTAGGCGCAACACCCCCAGTCGTAGCACCTCCAGGCTCAGCACCCACAGTCTCCGCACTCCCAGTCTCAGCACCCTCAGGCCCAGCACCCGCAGTCTCAGCACCCCTAGGCTCAGCGCCCCTAGACCCAGCACACCCAGGCTCAGCGCCCCAAGGCCCAGCACCACCAGGCTCAGCATGCTCAGCACCTTGCATAGGACCAGAGTCAACAGCTACCTCGACAGGCTCGACCGGGTCTACCTGGGAAACACCTGAGGGAGCAGCACCCTGGGGAGGCAAGGGGTCTACCGAAGCCGCACCTCGCGTGAGGAAGAGAGGCGGGGGGGGGGGGGGAGCGGGGCAGTGCGGTAGGGGAAGAGACGGTAAAAGGGTACCGACTCGTCAAAGGTGAAGTCCTGAGAGGCGAAGATCCGGCGCGAGGTGGGGTGGTAAAACTGCCAGCCAGGCGCGTCAGGGACAAAGCCAAGGAAGACACAGGGAACGGCACGGGAGGAGAGCTTGTCCGCGGACGTATCGCGGACAAAGGCTCGACATCCCCAGACGCGGAACACCGACGCATCGCCAACCTCCCCCGTCCAACGCAGGGTAGGCGAGGTCTCTGGAACAGAGACTCCGGGCCAGAGGTTGAGCTGACGCGCGCCGTACTGCACTGCAAACGGCCACAGGAAATGGGGGGCAGCCGCATGGATCATGGAGGTACGAGCGACCTCCATGACAAGGCCAATGCGGCGCTCAGCAACCCCATTTTGCTGCAGAGAGGCTGGGAGTGTGAACGACTGGGTGATGTCATGCTCCGCACAGTAGGCTGCCAAGAGGTCAGAGGAAAACTCGCCACCTCTGTTAGAGTGCAGATGCAGGACAGGAAACTCCGAGTGGAACCGCTGGCGGAGCTGGAGACGAGCAGCGCAGATATAGGGGATCAAGACATCAGGGACCTCACCCTTGGTACGCAAGGGGAAGACCGTGGTGTAGCGCGTGTAGTCGTCGACGACCAGCAGAAAGTACCGCTCGTGGCCCTGTCACCGGACGCGGGCGGGGCCCCACACGTCCAGATGGAGAGTCTGCAGGGGAGCATCCGTGGGAGGGAACGAGGAAGAGTGAGGTGCAGCGCGCTGCCGCCCCTCAACACAGGGAAGACAGGGAGGAGCAGGCGAGGGTGGGAGAGGAGGGAGAACCCTGGGAAGACCAGAGACGAGGTACCTGGAGTGCATGCCGCGAAGACGCTGCACTAACGGGTGACCAAGGCGGTGGTGCCAGAGGACAGTCCTGTGCGAGAGGGAGCGACACGAGCAGGGGGCCGACAGCTGACCTGACGTAGACGCAGACGCAGATGCAGCTACCTGAGGAGACTTAGTGGTCAGTGTGTACAAGTCCGACCCCGGCTGCCGAGTGAAGGTAGCCAGGTGAGGACCCGTCCGCGCACACGTGCAATGCGTCACACGCTCGTAGGACGGGGTGAACTGG